ATAAATATATTTTTCCTTTATGTATAATAATTTCAAATATAAATCAAATATAAATCACAATTGTAAACATCATATAAAAAAAAAAATTAAAAGTAAACTTTTATAATAAATTGACAACAAATTGTTGTTATTAAAGTAAATTACAAAAATATTATTCGAATATTACAATTATAATTGGTTTGTAATAAAGTTTTATTTTTAATAAAAAAAATAATTTTGTTAGATATTCGGTTTATACTTGGTTACCCAATAAGTTTGCAAAGTTCTACTTGTTAATTAGAGAATTAAAAGGAATCTGCACAACTATGACCATCTAAATGTAGAGAACGTTCAAACACTGCATCAATACCAGGAATCTTTGTGAAAATATATGATGATATGGTTTCAGAAGATTGTCGCTTGACAATCTACCAGCCCAAAGATTGAGCTGGTATGGACACATCCTACGAATGAGTAACGAAAGAATGACTAAGAAAATTTTCGAGACAAACCCAAAGGGGAGTAGAAAAAGAAGACGACCGCGACGAAGATGGTTACAAGATATAGAAGACGACATACGAACGATGAGAATAACACAACTCAGAAAGAAAACGAAATGCAGAGAAGAATGGAGGCGTATTGTAAAGGAGGCAATGATCCATCCTGGATTGTGATGCCAAAATGATGGAGATTATGCTTGAGCTTGTCCACGAAAGAGTTAACTAAACAACTGCTATTACTTCTATCAAGTCTTCAAGCCTCATCAATACATATCTTTTTAAGAAATCAGCCGAACATACATTTTTAATATATCTGATTAGCATTGAGGCGGACGTCATTCCATATCAACAACCAACCTATTACTGTTTATCTAATGCTTTATTTATTAGAGATTATTAACACCTTCACTTATTATTGATAGTCAAATAGCTTGAGAATACCGGCATAAATTCTGCGCTTAAAAAATAAATAGTTCTGAATGTTTTTAAAATTATTATTGTTATATTCTAGTCAAAATCTGCGTATAAATTCTACATCTAAGATGTAATTACATATGTTTAAATTAAATAAAGTAATTATAACATGCATTTCAAGGTAGTTAATATAGTTTTTGTATGAATGTTTTATATAAGTAATTTAAAATTTAAATAATGTACTCATGACAATTAATTGCAACAAATTTTTTTATCATAAATAAAAACGTAATTCGTGTATTTTTAATGCAATTTATACAATATTATATAGAATAAATGCGACGTGATCTTTTTATAAAACAAACAGTAGCAGTCAAACAATTCAAAAATTAATATCATATACATATTTACATAAGCATTATAGCATAATAAATTTAAAATGTTGATATGATTAAAATGCAAGTATACATATGTCATGAAATGTGACATTATCCGAGCAAATAAGGTGGCGACATGTGGTCAGAAGATTTAACAACATATGTATAATTGTAATTTACGTTTTTTTTTTTTATTTTAAATTATAAATACATTATTGTAATTATTATATAGTACATATTGTAAAAACTGAGCCTGTATGTTAATATATTGCGGTTGTTGTCAGTGCGACATATTTAAGATTTATAGTAATAGGTTTTTTTAAATTATAAATATTATACATAGGAATATTTGTGGTTTTATATGCGATTTTAAAATAATTTTAATTATATTTTTACACTTTCTGATAAAAAGTAGTATTTGTAAATTTAGCGTAAACGCACCTACAAAATATTTACATTACTCATAAGGAGATATTAATTTTTAAGAAATTCACAAAATTGAATAAATTATTGTCAGCTAAAAGAGTGCAAGATATCAGATATAGTAAACATTTTAAAAACATAATAGAACAAAAAAACCATATTATGAATATAGTTTAGTTAAGTGCTTAGCTAAGTTTAAGCATAAGCAAGACATCTATATTATCATGATAAACTGATAATATAGAAAAAGTGGAGGTCTGCACATAGATTTAAAATCACAAAAGCATGGTCTGAAATGCCAAGATAAAAGAGACCTCCCTCAAAGTAATGCGAAAGCGGTTCTGAGAAGAAATAAGTCTCACTAAAGTGGGGATGTTTTAGTCTGTATACTACATATTAATGTTAATGAGTCGGGCACATTTTTCCGACGACGGTCGGTATGACAGTTTATTCCACCTATTCATCACAAAAAAAAAAACAAAAACGAAATATTATAATCGTATATATATTTTGAAAAATTGTTTGTGCGTTTTTAAGTTGTGACAACACATATGCTTCTATGTTTTTCCTTTACATATATATATCGACTCATATATGGTATATTTATCGACTCATAAAAGGCAATAGTAGTAGCTACTGCTGAACCTCATGGCATCAATATTTCAGTATGTACATGGTTAAACCTTTATTGACTATCTACGAAAAAAAAACCATCAATGCTGAGATCCTGCATAAATAATTCAATAATTAAATAAACAAAAACTAGACAGATCTCATAAAAACAGTATATAACAGTATACAAAATATGGTTAAAACTTTAATTACAGTGATATAATATGAAGATATTTTTATAAACCAATTTCAATAAATTACTTACGTAAACCTTTAACAATTATCTTTAACATATTAAATAGCATTGAACTAAAGGAGTTAAGCAATTGATAAAAAAAGTCATCCTAGGTGCACGTTTTTGATCCCAGTATAAGTTCTTTTTACCTCTGTTAATACGAGCCCTGTGTTTGCATCTGTATGCAAATGAATGAATATATAAACCAAAACCAAAACCCCTGTTAGTCAATTGGTAAATAAATGATAAGCAAATTAAGGAACAAATTAAAATGCAGCATTCGGAACGGCACTGCTACGTCCGCATATACGGACAAATACATGTCTCTCGGTATTGAGGGAATAAAAGCAAAACTAAATATCAGGAAACCAAAACAACTAACAAAAGTACGATGTACAGTACAAAACCATTCTCAAGAACCATATGTACGAGTATATGTTATAAGAAAAACAAGTTAAAGCTATCGTATCACAGTACCACTGAAATCGCTGGATTCGCAATGTTGTCAAGTTGTGCGGAAATTGTAAGCACGCGTCATGAATGGGAAAACAAACAAAAATTCACTGAAACTTACAAAGTTTGTTGAAAATTTTAACGCCATCGTCAATGGACTTTATTTACACGGCATGCAAGTACAATTCGTCCATAGACATCTCGAAAAAAATTACTTCGCATGCTGGTTTACCTATAGGTTCTACATTTGGTGGTGTGTGGAGGTTGGCGTATAAAACTTGATGCTTCACATTGAGATACTTACACGTACGTATGTAAAATGCTGCAAACAAAATTATCAAGGACTCTACAGAAATGTTCCCTGCAGCAACCAGCATATACATATGCAAATTCAAAGGCTTACGAATATACACTCCTATCAACTCTACTGTAGGTTTTCTTAAAAAATTAAAAAAAACTGAAACGAAATAAATTGTTAACAAAAAATTTGAACAATTTTTCAATGCAGTTAGTTTTCTAGTTAAATTGTGCACTTCTGCAATTCCCCATTTAAACAATTTAATTTAAGTTTTATTACTTTTTATTTATTTGTAATGTGTAAACATTTTGAAATATTTTTGGTTTGTTTACTTGGCCAACAGTGAACAGTTTGTATATTTAACGACATTTATGCTCCAATAGATATTTATTTAGAATAATTTTTTTCATTTGAAGTGCATAGTTTAGATTTTCAAAACTTTGTAACTGACATAAAAGTGTATACACTCAAGTGGAAACTCATAAATACATATAATTTCTGAAGCAGTACTGGAAATATTCTAAAGAATATTTCATCCTTTTCAAAATGTTGAATTTTCTACGTGTTCACGACGACTTTTATATCTGAATGAATCTCTAATTATATGTGCTTTTCAAAGCCATTGTCATTTACTAAATTGATTGATTTTACCAGTTCCATCATGCCGAGAGTATGGTAGATTAGGCAATAGCGAAAATATATATTTTAAGCGACATTCGAAGACAGAAACCACAGGTGAAAAGGCTGAACTAGTTGATTAAGCTTTAACTAGACTTGATCTACGAGACTGAAAAAGGCGTCGAGCATCAAACAAAGACGTTTGTAGAGAAGTTTTTTTCAAGTCGAAACTTAGTAACGGGATTATTGGGTTATATTCACATAAGTGAATATATGTTAGAGAATTAGGCGTAATAAATATATTAATATATTGCAATTCATTTGGTTCTACTGAAAAACACGACCATAACATTTATTTTCTAGTGAGTGCATTATTATTTATTAAGATATCCTAGATTTTTCTGATATAATTTATATTATGCTAATATATATTATAAGTACTAATTTACAACTAAATGAGAAAATAACGTCAATGTCCTTTTTAAAACATATGTGTTTTTAAAACATATTACAACATTCATATTTATTTATAAGTATTTTTATTTTTATTTATTTTATCTTATGTATTTTATTTTTATTATTTATATTTTTATTTCTTGTCAACGGTTAAAACTGTAAGGGCTCAATTTCTAACAATTGTAGTCCAAAAAATTATATACGAACAATTAAACCAATATTATTAGCCGTTCTCTATTCTCTATTAGGAACATAGACTTGTTACATAGAATCTTCAACAGTTTCTATCTTTAGCAATATAACGTAATTCATTTAAAGATTTGCCGGTGTTATCGTTTTTCTCCAGGTGTTACATAGCCTTCCTTTGTGTTTAATGAGGTCTTCCCCATTAAACCAATAGATGTTTCAAAGACTACCAAAGACAGTCCAAAAAATTCATTTGATAAAAATGGATATATTTAATTTGGAATTGAACTATTATATTGAACTATTTATTTAACAGTATAAACAGTATGGTCAGTCCAAGAATTCATTTGATAAAAATTGATATTTTTAATTTGGATTTAAACTTTTTCATTAAACTATTTTCTTTTTCACTACTCTATTTTATAAATGAAAATTAAAAAAAAACTTACCTTCCGGCCAGTTAAGGAATACTGTTTGTGCTATATCACCAGCTGAATCAGATGGATTAAATAGGAATTCTTTTGTTTTGCCACTAACGAGTATCAAACGTAAATTAATCTGGAAAAAAAAAATAAATTACATTAATAGTATATAACACATATGTAATACATATAAAAGTAGTAAACCTAAAGGATGTTTTTATTTAATGGTAGAAAAAATCTTTTAAATTAATTAGAAATAATTAATGTTATTAGAGCTTTTAAAAGATAATCTTAATAATCTGACATAAAGAAATTTATGTTTTATATTTATATAGTTTAACAGAGAAGATTATATTAATATATAGATATTTATAAATTGTTTATGAGCTTCCTATTCATGTTCAGTTCTGTGCTATATGAGTGGTCAACACTAACGAGAAGGTTTGAAAATCGTTTCGGGAAAGTTTTGAACAGTATCATATAATGTACTGAATTAAATATATGTATATATTTAATTCAAGTACCACAAGGAAATACTTATACTCGATCTAAGTTGATATAATACTTCGCGTTTACTGTTTATTTCGAAAATTTAATTCGAAGTTAAAATATGATAATGATGCAATAATCTTACTCATATCAGAATATGCCAACTGTACTAGTTTTTTAGCATTAATAATATTTTTTTTGAAGTTAATTCTAAAACTCATTTTATATTTCATTATATATTTATTACTTTTAATTATAATAGTGATAATGATAATTCATGATAATCTAAGTAATTATTAATTATATATATTAAACTAAATATTTATGTATTTAGTACATGTTAGTTGCATGTCTCACGAGTATGCAGCTAACATATACTAGCTTTTTAACATCAAATATATTTTATTTTTTTTGTTATTTTCATTAAAATTAAAAATTTTACTATTTAATTTATTCTATTAAAATTATTACGTTATTAAAAATGTATTTAATTATATTAATATTTTATATATTACATTTATAGACAAATCCTTGAACCTTATTTCATATATTTCATTACATTTTTTTTATAAGTTATATATCGTATTATAACATATATTACTTGTATTTATTTTGTCCAATATTATTTTTGGTTCAAACAACTTAAGTCACAACACAATAATTTTATGTGATTTTAATAGATAAAATACTTCACTTGAATTAAGAGTTTATCCTGAGACTGAGATTGCTTTAATGACAATCATGAGCATATAACAGTAATTACTGTTGAAGCTATGTCGATATGAAGGGAGGATCAAAGTAGCAAATAACTTCGGAATTCTTATCCAATGCATAACTATAAGATAAAACTATATTAGTTTAATATCATTTGGAAAATATCTTATATGTTTCCAGTGTGTCTCTAATAACATTATTACAATTGATAATTGTAATAAAGGATTGTATTTGGATAATGTAGCATCATAATTGTCCAATTTGGTCTGTGATTATCAGTTTCTTTTATTTGGATCGCATATAGCTAATTATTCCAAATTCTTATCCAATGCATAGCTATAAGATAAAACTATATTAGTATACTATAACGTGAAAAATATCTTATATATGTTATTTCCAGTGCGTCTTTAACAACATTATTACAATTGAGAATTGCAGTAAAGGACTGTTTTTGGATAATGTAGTATCACAATTGTCTAATTTGGTTTCTGATTATCAGTTTCCACTATTTAGACTGCATATATTTAACTATTTTTATAAATTAATACACATATATGTACAGATCAAACAACAACGTTTTGTTTTGTTTCTTATTAGAAAGTTGTGTTAAATATTTAAATAAGTTATTTTATATCAACTTGTAAAAGTTTCTTACGATTACACTTCAATACAGAAACAATCAAAGATACTTTTAAATAGTTTTCTATCTCCAACAAATTCATTACCTGCACCACTACAAATATTCAGGTTAATTCAAATAACACTTTTAACAATCTAATTTAGAGTGCATAAAGTGTCAAAATTTTAACTTTCTTGAAATCTTTTCACCCAAATATGTCTATAACAATCTCTACTTGTCTATCTTAAGAAAATAGGTTAGTTGATTTGAAAAGAATTGCAAGAGAAGAAAAATTTCGAAATTTGAAACACGTTCATGTCTCGCTGTTAAATGTTGATGACGAGGAAACAGATTATGATAATGATTATTAAGGTGAAGACAACATAAAAGTAGTACACCTACTTGCGCTTTACTTAAATTGGAAATTTGTGACAAATCCCAGTTAATAAACTTGACAAACGAACATAGACAAACACTTAGTCTTGGGCCTTAGCAGAGTGTACGCATGTACGCAGATACAGAGAATGATGCCTGTTTACATGTTGTTGATGGTTTTGGTTTTGTTCTTTGCTTTGCGAAATATCAACATCTTCGTTTTTATGTTGTCATTTTAACCAGCAGCATATGGATCCACTAACATAAACACAAATACCATCTACCATTTAAGCCAACTACAAGTGCAGGTTAAGAAGAAAAACCAAGTGCTTCTGTATATATTCACTCGCTATTCACTAGTAGTCTGCTTCGCCAAGATGTTTGGGAATTGTTGCTGCTGTGTATTTGCCAAGAGATTCAAGTTGTCTGTTGATTAATATTGCTAGTGTTTTCTTTTTGCTTTTTTATTTATCTATTTTATTTTTTTGAGTTATCTTTTGTCGGAAAAAGCAGCATTATACACATATATATATAAATATAGACTAAGCTTAACATGACTAATCAAGTGTGAAATGGTATTAGCGTATTATTCTAATACTCTCGGCCTTTTAAATATAATGTCTAAAAAAATAATAAAAACAAAAAATAAAAAAATAAGTTGAAATCTAAAATAATGCGGCTTAATTTTGATTATAATAGGTTAGGCAAAAAAAAATTTTTTTTTTTGCAAATAATATTTTATGATCTAATTTCTGAATTATGTTCTTAAAAGAAGGCAACCAGTAACGTTCATAAATTTTTAAAATATTTTATTCATCAATATAAATGTGATTCATATTTTGTAAAGGTTATCGAAGAATTATTTGCTTTATATTTATAATAATGGAGTAGAAGCGGTCTTATCAGATGTATGCCAAGTTTAAAATTTCTACTTTTCAATTTTCATTTTAATGGAAAATGTATAATTTAACACTAATCAATATAATGAGTACATATACATAAAATACAACTGTGTAAGCTCAGTAACGCAATCTTAATAGCTTATTTTCACGACACAAGTTAAACTGCACTAAATGTTAAATTGAGTTGTTGCTGGTATGAATGAAGTTAGGTATGATTTTTGATGTTTGTCTTCCTGCTCCTTCATGATTAGGAACCACTTTTACAAATGTTAGTGCGTTCCGTTTTTCATTTTGTACCACTTTGTTATCATAACATTATATGTTTCCTTATTGGCATGTTTCTCTTTTAAAGCGAATTGTTGTTTGTAATAAGTAAAAACTTTATGCGAATGTCGGTTTAACCTAGATCTCAGGATCAGAATTAATTTTTGCCATATGAATAGGCTATAACATGTTAATTGCTTGCGTGTTTACATTAAAAGTACTACAATTCTTGACAAAATTATATTGATAATTTGAATATTGAGTTGTGCAAAACGTATTTGGTGCTTTAAAGCAAAATTGCAAAATTTTTTGTTATTATTTCAAGAACATTTTTATTAATCTAAATATTGCTTCTCCCCTTTCTCTGCTAGAACTACTTTTCATTTATTGCATTATTTTGGGATTTAACTTTTGAACAACTAAAGGAGTTGTCCATATATTGCTATATTGGGGTAATGTTCAAACGTTAAGATGTATGTATTAGTATATTTGGTTTAAAAGATATTTTTATCTTTATCGTATTTGAAAAACATATGTCCAATTAGTTCGTTCAATAATTAATATATAATTTTTTAATTATAAAAATAAACAATTCCTAAAACTAAAATACTGTATAATTAAAATATAACAGTAATAAACATTTCTAATTGCTTGTACTTTTAAATTAAATTCAGTACAAAAAATAATAAAGTTTTATTAAATATTTGACATTTGTGACTGTCTATGGACATTTCGACTTCGTTGTAGGTTCTGTTTGAACATGATTTTCTTAGTTTCTGAAATCATTTTACCCACCACGAAGTTGTACAGTAAAACAAAATTCACATAAACATTAATTGTTGAACACAAGATATTTTAGGAGCTTTGAAGTTTTCTGGTATAACATTTCTCGATTAATTTAACTTCTCGAACTAATACTGTATACAGCGCCGCAACTCTAACGCTTATGAAAAATCAGTTTGACATTTGTGTTTAAAAACGTAACCCGATATCACAGATAACATAACAAAAAACAAAAAAAGTAATTTAACATAAAATTAGATTGCAGCAAAAATTTTGTGAACATAATACAAATCATGTGAATCGTTTCTATTCAGGTTTCAGTTTTGTAGGTAATTTTACGCCATTTGTTCGAAAATTAAAGCTGCCGCCACTGAAACCGCAAACTATAATATTGTATTATGGATAATAGTTATGACATGCCATAAAAGGTTGCGAATGCATGTATTCCTTTTTAAAGATATATTTACTTTAGGTTTTCGTTTGTATGTTTAGTAATGATGAAATACTATTTGAACTTTGATACAAACATTTTAAACCAGTTTTTGATAATTAATTTTTAATACATATAAAGTGACATATAGATTCAAACAGCATTTTACATATTTCGAGAATAGAGAAATATTTGTAAATTTATGTATTTATTTATAATTAATAATATTATTATTTATTATTTATATTTAGAATTTATTGCAAATATTTTCTATTTTTGATTTCTATTTAATCATATATAGCAAAGGATATGTAATGTATTCTCTTTACTTCAATATTATTGAATTTAATTACAAATAGTTTTAAAAAAAAAATAGTACAATAATTAATCGTCATCCGTGACTATATAGTTCATGTAGGACCTAAGCCTGTTTAACTTCCATTCTTCTCTGTTTTTTGCTTTTGTTTTCCAATTTCTTATGTACATTTCTTAATGTACTGCACACTGTCTTTCCATTGTTTTCTTCATCGCCCTTTTCTTCTGCTGTTTCTTACTACGTT